AAACATCCTTCTGGTATTCTCTGCTTTCAGCCAAGATCCATCGGACATCAGCAATGATATCTCTCGTTCCACTGCCTCTTCTGAATCCAGCTTGAACCTCTGGAAGTTTTCTGTCAATGTATAATTGTAGCCGTTTCTGTATTACCTTTAGCAAAAGAACAGTATAGCAAGTAATAAAAATAAAAAATGATAAATTATTTTAAGAAGGTAATTGGCATTGTAAGCTGGATGAAAAAAAATAAATATTGCATGTATTTTCAAATGAAGATTTATTTTATTTACATGCATAATAATTGCTTTGTTGTTGTTAAGTGCTGTCGAGTCAGTTCCGACCCATAGCGACCCTGTATAGGATTTCCAAGGAGCAGCTGGTGAGCTTGAATCACTGACCTTGCAGTTCAAATGACTGCAGTCTGGTGCATTAACCCACTGTGCCGTACCTGGACTCCAGTAATTGTTTTAGTGGTAATTTATTTGGTCATTTGTGATGTTAGAATTCAAGAAGGGGCAAATGTGCAAAGGCTAGGCAAATGGAAATGAAACAGTCATCTGAAAGCAGTGTAAAGGTCAGAAGAGAATGAAGGAAACAGCTAGTGCTGATTATCCCTTATAGTCTATTATAATTAATGTAAAAGCAGAGTTGTCATATTTAGTGAAAGTGATATGGTTTTTGAACTTTCAGGCAGCAATAAGTCACTTCTAGTTGGCTATCTTTGGACATAGGGTATATAGTAAAGCATTCAAATTTAATAGAACAGAGAGAGTTCTTAGGTGCTGATATCCCTTCATTATGGATGCAGTTTTATGTGGTTAAAATAGCACTTCACCAAGGGGTGGAAAACCTGGATTTAACTCTTAATTTTGCTTTTCTAACTGCATGAGCTTTGTTGTTGTTGTTTGGTGCTATTCAGTCAGTACCGACTCATAGCGACCTTATGCACAGCAGAATGAAACACTGCTTTAGCAAGCCGTTTATCCAATCCAGACATTTATTAACTTTATGAAATGGAAAGATAACCAAACTACCTTATAGAGTGGTTGTGAATATTAATAGAAGTAATATGTTTAAAAGCTCATTCTAAATTAAAATGTAGGATAAATTTATATTTATATTTGTTGAATTAAAAATGAGTAAAACCCCTATTAGAGGATATTACAGTAGAAATCATGGCTTTAATACAAAGGAGGATATATTTCTGAAGTTTAGGTGTCTGAAATTAAATTTTGGATTTGACTATTTAGAGAAGTTTTCTCAAGATAAATCACATATGAGGATTGTCAAAAAGTTCATGGAAAACTGGAATTAAAAGATAATGGATTTTTTTTCAGTGAACTATTTGAAGCTCTCTTGTATTTATTAAGGGGAAAAAAATCCAGTTAACTATTTCTTCAAAGTGAAAACACTTACAAACCCTTCACAACTTCATTAATAGTAAAATTTAGAAAAATTTTACTTTAAAAATAATTTTCAGTGTTTTTTAATGCATTTTATAATTTATTCCTTGCTAGGCCTCATCTGAATTATGTCCATATAATCCTGTCCTGGAAAACATTTCCTGTATTATGCCTAGAAATGACATGGAGCTACAACTGGATTTTATGTTTACTTCTGTTTATATTGGTAAAATAAAAGGAGCACCTAAAGGTTGCGTTACAGTAAGTATATTTTCTTTGAGGTTTTTTTTTTTTTTATAAGTTGGGTTATAGAGAAGGCATTTTCAGGATTTTTATTTATTTTTTTAGCAAAACAGTTAGTACAATTTAGATTAATTTTGAGATACTGAAAATCATTATACCTATTTTGAAACATATCATCCCCTGACTTCTATGACATGGAGAGAGAGAGCAGCTGAGGACTCCAGACTCATAGAGAAAGGCTATGTGCTGGTGGCCAGGAGGCAGGTTTGCAGAATGTGCCCTTTGGTTGTTTAAATGATTGTATAATTCTGAGTGTTTTTATGTATATTGAAAAACAACAACAAGAGAAAACAGAGGGAATAGATGCAAATATTGTTGAATGATGAAGCAAGGAAGGAATTGTAATCATTGCAATGAAATGAAATATAATAGGATAAGTGTAAAACTGATGTTCTCCCATGTAAACTGTCCAGGCAAATCACAATAAAAACTATTAAAAAAAAAAAGAAAGAAAGAAAATGCATCTCTTAATTTCTGACTGATCTAGTAGAGGAATCTATAGGAAAAAATGTGTAGTATTGATACTTCTTTTGGCTTTAAAAATTATTTGGTGATAAAGAAAATTTTTATTCCGAGCATCAGTTGAGAGCACAAAGGAAAACAAATTTTTGTGATTAAAATTATTATAAACTGTTGTTAGTTGTCATTGAGTTGATTCTGACTCATGATGACCCCATATGTGTAGAGTTTCATAGGATTTTCAAGACTGTGACTTTCTGGAAGAAGATCACCAGGCCTGTGTGCGAAGGTCCCTCTGAATGGATTTAAACTGCCAACGTTTTGGCTGGTAGTTGAACACTTAACTGTTTGTCACTGAGTTCGCCGTATTCTAAAATTTGCCATTCAAGGATTTACCGGAACTGATCCTAATCTAACTTTTAATTTTGAAAAATTTTTATTTTTCAAACATTTTTTAAAATTAATTAAAAAAAATGTTCCCCATCATATACTGTGTCCTGAAGCCACATTAAATTTTACTTGTTTTTCTACATAGTCTCACCTTGTCTTCCTTTTGACATTCTAATCATCCTTTAAGGCTTGTATGAAATACTGATCTCTCCTTTCCAGTTAAAATTAATTTTTCCCTTTTCTATATACATATATATATATACATATAAGGAGCTCTGGTAATGTA